AATTGTGCCGTCCACACCCTCTCGTGGAGAGAAGGCTAAGGCACTTCAGACTGGGGCAGCCGTGCCAGCGGGCGTGGGGCGCACGGGAGGAGCCTGGTATGTGCAGCGCAGAGAGGGACCCCAGCCCGCAGGGTCCGGGCCTCCCCTGCTGCCGGGAGCCCGCCGCCAACAGCAGTGTGAGGAAGACTGTCAGGACTCCGGGTGGCCCGAGGACCACAAGCCCCACTCACTGCAGGCCGGGACATCTGTATGTGAGCGAAGGCGCGGGGCCAGTGCCCCTGGCCGGCAGCTGCCCGCCCGCTCATCACGTTGGCTCCGCTCCACCTTCACTTCTCTGCACAAGGTCAGGCACGGACTGGTCTCTCAGCTACAGCCGGACAGCGATCTGCCCTGGCAGCAGGGATGACCCAGCCAGGAGTCGCCTCTCAGACCGGAGGCCAGAGGGAGGAAGCGAGCAGATTTCCGCAGGGAACCAAACCCTGCAGGAGAAGGCGGCTCATCCCAGCCACGGCCAGTTGGAGATGACCTAGGACGACGTCAGACCCAGTGTCCTGTCTGCCCATGACACCTGGGGGTTGTCTGGGCCCAGAGGAAGAACACAGACTCAGGGGTCACCATGCCCAGCCCACCCCAGGGCCCTCTTCTGGCAAAAGCAAACAGAGAGATGGCCCCGGGTTCAGGCACTGCTCTGGCACTCAGCAGCATGATGGCTTTGGGTGAGTTACTTTAACCCCTTTGGCCTGATTTCTTCTTAAAATTGAGGCACTCAGAAAATTGTGTCTGGACCTCGCTGTCAGCTCAAGGCCACAAATTATAGTGGAGAAAACATCGGCAGAACCTTTCATGACCTTGAACCTAGAGGTTTCTCCCGTGGCTCACTCCCACGGGCCATGCAAATGGAAGCAAAGAAAACTAATGGGGCTACGTGAACTTTAGAAGCTTCTACACCGCATTAGAAGCGATGACTGGAACGCTGGGAGAGAATATTTGCCCACTGTTCACACTGACAGGGTTAATATCCAAGAGAGAGAAAACACTTCGAAAACTTGACAACAGAAAACAAACACTTTCTCGAAGAAGACATACAGATGGCCAATAGATTAAAAAAAAAAAAACAACAACTCTCACTTACCAGGGAAATGCGATCCAAACAACAGCGTATCATCTCACACCAGTGAGACTGACACATCACAAAGAACAACTAGTGTTGGGGGCTGGAGCGTTAGCACAGCAGGTAGAGCGTTTGCCTTGCATGCTGCTGGACCAGATTCGATTCCCAGCATCCCATATGGTCCCCCAAGCACCACCAGGAGTAATTCTTGTGTGCAGAGCCAGGAGTAACCCCTGTGCATTGCCAGGTGTGACCCAAAAAGCAAAAAAAAAAACAAAGACCAACTAGTGTTGGCGTGAATGTCAGGGAGAAGGACACTCGCCCACTGCTGGTGAGACTGTTGAGTGGTTCTATTTCCTAGGAGTATTTTTATTTGGTTTTTGTTTCTTGGGCCACACCCGGCAGTGCTTAGGGCTTACTCCTGGCTCGGGGCTCAGGGATCACTCCTGGTGGGCTTGGGGGACTATGTGGGGTGCCATCGATCAAACCCAGATTGTCTGTGTGCAAGGCACACGCCTTACCCACTAGACTCTCTCCAGGGCGCCTCTCCCCCACCCAGTTCAACTTCCTTGGAAAGCTATACAGACACTTCTCAAAAAACTGAGCTCAAAGAATGGAGCTTCGGGGCCAGAACAATAGCACAGCGGGTAGGGTGTTTGCCTTGACGAGGCCTACCTGGGTTCGATCCCCAACATCCCATATGGTCCCCCCCAAGCACCACCAGGAGTAATCCTGAGTACAGAGCCAGGAGTAACCCCTGAGCATCGCTGGGTGTCACCCAAAAAGAAAAAAAAATGAAGCTTTCATCTGACCCAGAAATTCCACTTCTGGGCATGTGCCCTGAGCCCAGAAACTCCCTTCAGAAGAGCTGCCTGCACACCTGTGTTCTTGCAGCACTGGGCACCATCGCCAATGCCTGGAAACAACCCAGGTGTCTGAGAACGAGTGATGAAGAAACGGTTATTTCCGCAGTGCAGTGCTGCTGGGTTATAAGCCGAGGTGAAGAGATGCAATTCATTGCTACGTGGATGGATCTGGAGGGGATCGTGCTGAGTGAAGTCGGCCGGAAGGAGCGGGGCAGACAGTGATGTCCCTCAGGTGCGGGCTGTGGTGAGGGAGGGACACCATGTTGGCTGAAGGCAACAGGACCCAGGAACTGGTCTGCACAAGTGAGCTCTTGGTGGGGGTGGTACCGGGGGTGGGGGGACTCAGACTGTGTGGAGGGAAGCAGGTGTTCAGGGGGAACTTCGTATGCATGAAACCCTGTAATAAGCAGTGTTATAAATCATGGTTCTTCAGATAAAATTTTCGGGGAAAAAAACTTTTCTTTCCCCGCGGGGGAGTGGAGGCACATCCAGAAGTGTTCAGGGCTTACTCCTGGCTCTGCACTCAGGAATCACTCCTGGTGGGGCCGGGAACCATATGAGATGCCAAGGATTAAACCCGGGTCAGCTGTGTGCAAGGCAAATGCCCGCCCCGCTGTGCCATCGCTCTGACCCTTAAATTTTCTAAAAAATATTTGGTGCTGGGATTTGGAGAATTTTTTTTTTCTCTACCATTTCTCTCAACTCTGCTTTCTACCAGCACCTAGTGTGTGACTCGGAAAAGGCAAAGGGGCTTTCTAGGAGGGGAGTGAAGAGTGTAGGTAACTGCATGAGTCCCGGCATCTCCATGGGGACCTCAGCGCCTCTGGCTGACGCAGCACAGGCCAGTCCCCCAGGCTAGTGTCTGGGGGTGGGGAGGGTACGGCCCTTGCTCCCACCCTCCGCTTTCTGGGATGCAGATTCTGATCCTTCGACCAACCCCAGGTTCACCAAGTTGTTCACAAAGGGCTGTTCTTTGCCAGGCTGGTCCCCTAGGCTGGGACGCAGGTCCTGAAAGTGCCAAGGTTCACGCCTCTCCCCACCACCCTGGTCCCTCCATCGCTACCACCCAGGGAGCTGAGTTGCTCCTTGGAATTGAAGAGTGTGCGTTGCTTCTCAGAGGACTTGGAGCGTCTCTAGAACGTTTTGTTGATTCAGAATTTCAGACGGGTTTCTGTACTTCTTTCTATACATGTTACACGTGTGTATAAACAAGCGCAGGCACGCATGCAAACATCCCTGAGCCTGAGGCTCAGAGGAGAGAAGTATTTTGCCCCTCCTCCCCCCGAAACCAACAGACTTCAGCGACTTGCCAACACAAGTTGGGGGCAGTGTCGGCATAGAGGGTCCCATCCTTGGCGCCGTTGTGAGACCATGGAAATGCAGAGTTTGCGTGCGGGGGCAGCGCTCCTCCTGCTGGGGTTCAGGAGACCCACGTGGCTCAGCCATCAGCCATCAAAGACAGCCCACCCGAACCGCGTTTTCTGTCATTGGGCTCCACCAAGAGGCCCCGTTCCTCTTGTTGGACATGGGGAGGCTTTCTGGACCAGCCGCGGAGCTCCCCATGCCTTCCTCCCTGGTCACTCTGCCTCCAGCAGCCGTTAACACTCGGCTGCTGGCCTCCCTTCTCTTCCTAATAGGACGCTTTGCAAGAGGGGAGCACTCACCCCAGGCGCCGTAGGGTAGTGGTGGGGACCCATGGAAGGGAGGAGTACTCACCCTTAGAGCACTTTGTGAGTTGGTCTGGAGGTGTGGAGTAATGAGACGTTGCTCACCCCCTGCCCTCCTGTGAGCCCCAAGTGGGCACCCTCAGCTAAGCTCACTGACAGCTCCTTTATCAGCCCGTCTAGGGCCGGGCGACACTGCCCCCAGCCTTCTAGGGCTGGGGTCTGCGCAGGGACAGTCGGGAGTCCGGCGGAGCAGCCTGGGAAGTGAGGGTCAGGTGTGTGGTGTGTGCGGAGCAGGAATGGGGGCCGGAATGGCTGCAGAGTCTGTTTCTGACACTCCGTCGGAGAAGGTGAGGAGTGAGCTCACCTTGGTCACGTCACTGTGTTGTCTGTCCGTGTAGATGTCCTGGCACAGAAGCGGGTTCAGGGGCGCTTCCTTGAGGTGAGGCACGGAAAAGGCCCAATGGGCTCCAGGTGACTTTGTTCCAGAAAGATTCACCATCCAAATCAGGCTCCTTGGTGGCAACATGGGAGGCTTGTCTCAACCCTTTGGCCAACTGGGCTTTCCCAGCAGTGACCGGTCCCCACTGTGCTGACTCCCTCTTCCCTCCCTCCCTCCTTCCCTCCCTTCCTCCTTCCCTCCCTTCCTTCCTCCCTCTCTTCCTCTCCATCCCAGTGTCTACTGCGACCACTGCGGTGATTCTAGACCTTAGGCTGGGTAAGGGCCAGTGGTCCCCTACACCGGCAGGTTTTCAGCCATCAGTCAGGGCCCCAGGCCAGTCTGCAGGTGTAAAAAGGCTGGAAACTGCCCTATTGGACAGTGGGTGCCTGCTCCAAGCATCCCCACTGACTTCCGAGGTCCTGCTGCTCACAAGGTGATTCCTGCCACGCACCCAGCTCGGTGCACACAAACACACACACACCGACCCGCCCTCGCTTGGGCCACGGATCCTGAGGTGCAAGACGGCTTTCCAGGAAAATGCCCACTGCACACTCGGGCCACGCGGGTCCTGCCTCATCTGCGGGGGCAGGAAGCCAGGTGACAGGGCAGGTGGCCCCGCCATCCGTGTAAGGCTTGGGCCCCCACCTGAGCGACTCCCCACAGCCTGCAGAGGACGGGGTGAGGGTGGGGGGTGGTTCCGGGATCCCAGGAAGGCGCACGAGGTTCGACTTCCTTCTCTGGACGGATCCAGCCCCCAGCCGGCAGCCCAGGCGTCGCTGCATTAATCAGACTTGCTGGAGCGATCACATGGTCCTCGCGCGGCTCGTCAGCAGCTGGCGGAGCTGGAGGCTGCAGGCCCCTGGCTGCAGAGCCTGTTACTCCAGATATTGGGGCGGGGGGTGAACCCCGCCTCTTTTCCTGCACTTGGCACTGTCCGATGGACTAAATGGTTGGCCCCAGGGCGCGGAAGGCTGCCAGACCACCCCAGGGACCGCTGCGGACTAGGTCATGTTTGCATTTGAGGAATTCAGGTACGTGGGGCTCCGCGGCAGCCACCCGCCGCTGGGTTTTTGTTCTCCCTGGATTTTTGCTGTGTAACGACGGCTTGGGCTCCTTGGGCTCCGGCCGCGGCTCCCCCAGACCAAGGTGCTTTTCTGCACGTGCGGGGGGGGGGGGTGTAGGTGCCGCGGCCGGCGGGGTGGATCGTTGCTCCTCGGCTGCGTGTGGGTCTGCCCAAGACCCCGCCTTGCGTCTCATTGGAGCCGCTGGTGCAGAGTTAAGACAGAAGCGTGGCTGTTTCCTGCCAGATGCGTCTCCTGCTCGCTTTTGTGTCTCTGCCTTTGTCAGATCGGTGGCGGCATCTCTGGCTCCTTTCGGTGCGTTTCGGTGCGGCGGCCGGACGCGGGCTCTAGCTTCGGCTCGGCTTCCTCCGTGTGGCTGTCCCCGGCTGCCACCACCCGGAGAGGCGCTTTCCTGGGCACTGCCCTGACGCTGTGATTGTTGATGCTGCAGATGAGTCTTTGTGCGGCTGCTGGGAGCATGTGTGGGAAGGGGCGCGGGGGGAGTTTCTATGAAATGCGAATAAAGGAGGCGGGAGGGGAGGGCTGCCGCCCCCCACCCCCACCCCAGCGCGGGCCCAGCGGGGCTGTGTGTTCCTGACCTCTGGCCGCCCGCTGGCCTCCTTGCTCGGTGGAATGCGGCCCTGCAGATGGGGAGGGCGGCATCCTGGGAACCTCCATCCCCGGCTCTGGGGGCCTTTTTGTTCCGGGATGTTGGCTGCCGGGGACAGAAGGATGACAATAGAGGTCCCTCCTCCCTGCATTCCTGAGAGGCAGCCAGAGGAGCTCCCCAAGGGCCAGCCGGACCACAGAGGTGTCCCCGCACTTCGCAGCCACCCCGGGCTCAGATCCAAGAGTCATCCTTTGTCTGCGCCGCGCCAGCCCTGCCGCTGGTGCCAGGGCCCTTGTCTCCGGGGCAGCCCCTGGCTCGGAGCCTGGCCGCGCCCCAGAGCCCCTCACGGCGGCGCTACCCAGACTGTGCTTCGCAGGCGAGTGGGAGACCACGAGGGATGCCGAGTTAGGAAGAGTTCTGCGGCATGGAACCCTGGGGTGGGCGCCCCTTTCCGGGGACCCCAGCAGCAGATGTGCCTCCAGGGCTGACCTGGGGGGCGCCAGGGTAGTAGGTCCCTCCAGCAGCTGCCTGAGCTGGCCTCAGGCTCACTTTGGCCTATGAGTCTGGTGGCCCCAGATGGACACACCAGTAGAGGCCCCCCCCCCCTCGCCGAACTCTGGGCAGGGCCTGAGGATCTGCATTCCCCTTGAGTTCCCTATGGTTCTGATGCTGCAGAGCTGGGGCTGCCTGCACTCAAGTGACCAGTTCCAGAGTCAGTCGGGCACCCAGGGACGCCACCACCAGCCTCTCTGGTTGAGGAGACGGCGCCCAGCACACAGCCTTGGTTCTAACAGCACCAGCCTGGGGTCTGGACCTTCGTCTGCACCGTGTGGGGTTGTGCGAGGGCCAGACACAACTCCATGTGTCATGAGCGGCTGCCCTGCAGCAGAGGGAGGGGAGGGGCAGGTGTTGGGGTCTGGGGGGGGGGGTCTCTGGCTGGTGTCTCTCCCACTCCTTGCTGCAGTGTGAGTTGAACAGAGGGTGCAGGTACACTTCGCCACCTCCTACCCGGGAACGGCTTGCCGGGTCCCCCCCAGCCCCTGTCCTCTAGCACAGGGTGGGGCTCCCAGCCCCGGCCATTTCCAAAGGACTGTGGTGTCCCGACCCTGGGAGCTCAGATACAGGGTCACCAAGTTATGGCGTGTCTGCAGAACCCTCCAAGCAGCCGGCATAGAGTTCAGCGACTGCAGCCCAGACTCTGCACGCGGGAGGCCCAAGTTCCACCCGGGGCGCTATGCCTCGAGTAACACACACCCCCCAGAAAGCAGGAAGTTGGAACCCGTCCGGGTTAGGTCTGAGCCGGGTGCCACCCTGCAGGGGAACTCGTCTTCCTGTATCTCCCCTCTTGGGATCTTCTGGGGGACCCCGGTCCGCTCTAGTGCTTGGCATTCCTCCTCGCCTGTGAGGAGCTGGGGGTCCCCCTCGGGGTCTCCCTTGCACTGTGACTGGCTTCCTTTTTCTCTCCTCCTACTGCCCTGCCCAGGGCAGGCTCTGAGGTCAGAGGGTGCAGTGGCCACTCTGGGGGCCGGAGGGGGGGGCCCATCAGTATTGACCAGTCAGCGTCTAAAGAACTGGTGTCAGAATAGAATTAGGTACAAGGGCCCCTGAGAGGGGTGTGGGGTGGGAGGTGCCCGGCCAGGGGTGCGAGGCCTCCCACAGTAGCTCAGGAAGGGAAGCGGGGGTCTTGCAGCGAGGGGCGTGTCTCAGGCACCCAGCACGTGTCTTGTAAGTATGCAGTCCTGGGCTTAATCCCCTGCGACCCCCACCACCACCCAAAACAACACCAAAATATTGGAATTAGGTCAGTCACAGCCCCTAACAGAGGCACTTCTCATCACTCTGTCAGCGCTCCCGGGGCTGCTAGGCAGAAGCTTCTGGAACGGGCACGACTCGGAGAACTGGAAGAAGTGGGCAGGGCAGAGGATTGGGTGGGGGGTTGGAGCAGGAGGGGACGGTGGCCACATTTCACTCGGGCCACAGTGCAGCTGGTGTCCGTCTGCCTGGCCGCAAGCAACATGCTCATTTGGGGAACGAGCCGTTTAGCTGCTGGGGTGGCAGTGCGGATGTACGGAAGGATCCCACGGTCCTCCACGGTTAATAAGCGACGCCGTTGTTCATTTTATGCCAAGGTGGGCAGCACCGTGGGCTGCAGCCCAGGCCCACCCGGTTCTACGATGCAGACTTCGCGGCTGTGACGGGGTGAGCCCGGTGTCTCTCCGGGTCTGTGCACCTCGCTCTTGGGAAAGGCACTGCCCGGATGTCCCCGAAAGAAGCGCGTGAACCCTGAGACTCGTCTGGGGTGGGTTTGTGTCGTGGGCTGCGATGGGGAGGCCGGGCCACACCTGGCTGTGCTTAGGACTTACCCTGGCTCCACTCGTGGCCACGTGCAGGGCCAGGGATGGAACCAGGTACAAGACACATGCCTTCCTGGGCCACTCCCAGTCCAGCGCCGCATCACAGATGCACGTAGGAGAGAACACGCCGGTGCTCTGGGCCCAGGCAGCGTTGGGCTCAGGTGCTGGAATGAGCTTTGGGGCTTTCAGCGCTGCCCGGGAGCCAGACACGCTCGCCTCCATGGGGCAGCAGGCCTTCCTCTTCGCGCTGCTGTCCGGCTGGGCATCTCCCCAAAGGGGTGTCCACTGTGCCAGACCCTGGAGCGTCCCGGTCGCTTCCCCCTTGTCTTGTCCATCCCGGGAGATCCACCATGCTCAGCACTGGGTGTACTCCGTCGGGGCGCCCGGGCCGGCCAGTGCGGCTGTGGCCTCACTCAGGCCCTCCCTGCCCAGTGCCCCCCATCTGGAGGTCCCTGAAGAGACGGTGTGTGACACACCGTCCTCCCGTCTCACCAGAGCTGCTCCGTCCGCCTTGACCGCTGGCCCCTTTGGTCTGCCCCGTCTTTCCGTGGGGCAGCTCCCAGGGGAGCCCGGGCCCATGCACAACAACTACCAGTCGGAGTCATGTTGTGACACCAGGGCCTAAGGACAGTGTCTGCATGGGCCCTGCAGTGCCAGGGATGACCTGGGCCTCCCCAGCGGTACATGGGGAGGACTTACAGGGCTCCACCGGGTGACACTCAGGAGGACACATGCCAAGGACGGTGCCTGAGCCAGCTGTGCCCTGCGCCCTGCCTCTCCGCTTTTCTGACCACCTGCCCCTTCTACTCTGTTTCTAAGAACGAAAGCAGAGGGGGCAGCTGAGAAAGATGCTGGGTGGGCTGCTTTGAAACCAGCCCTGTGAAAGGGGAGGGTTCCGGGCATTTTGCCCCCCCCCCCCCAACACATGGAGGGGAGTGCGCACAGGGATGCCCGCTCTGCCCCAGGCTCTCAGCACCACTCCAGTCCTGGACCATGGGGACTGTGCTGACAGTGCGTGACGTCACTTCCTCTCTGGCTGCTGTCTGAGCCGGGGGTGTGAGCATTCCTGCCCTGACCGGCTCTGACCTTGTCCACACCAGGTCGAAGGAGATGGTCAGGTGTTCAAAGGAAGGGGCTGGTCACAGGCACAGGGGTGCCGGTCCAGGTCCCAGGAAGCCGTGGGCAGCTCGCGGGGAGGCACCTGGAGCCAGTTGTTTGAGAACATGTGTGGGTCTTGGTCCCAGAAAGGCAACGCAGGGCTGCCTGGAGACACGGGAAACCCCCAGAGGAGGCGGGGGCTTTGCCCGAGTTTCCCCAGATGTTTGATGATGGAATTTATTTGCATGGGAGATGCCTAGCTAGCAGCAGGCACTGGTCTGTTGGGAGGACCATTAACTGGTGAAGACAAAACCAGAGTTTTTGTCTTTTGAGTCTCAGCGGGATGGGGGGGGGGACATGCCTATGAGACCTTAGCCTGTGCGTTTTTGTAAATCGGGCTTTTGTTGTATGTTTGGGGGGGATTAATGAAATTACTCGGCTGAAAAAATTAGGATGCACATTTCTCGTTCACGTTGTTTTAGCCCAATTTAGACTGCCCAGAGTCTGCTTCCTGCTTCCTGCCAGGTGCTCGCTCAGGGGAATTGGGAAGTTCTGTGGCAGCTGGCCGAGGCCAAGAGGAGTCTGGGGGGCTGATTTGTGGCGTTTTGGGTGGGTGACTTTTTGTTGCTGTTGTTTGGGCCACTCCCCGTGATGCTCAGGGGTTACTCCCGGTTCTGCATACAAACTGAGGTCAGGTGACTGTAGAACCGATGGCTGATCCTACTCCCCCCCACCCAGCGTAGTCAGGACACGGCACAGTCACTAAGCACCCCTGTCCAGCAAACCACAGGGGGCTCTGAGTCAGCAAAGGGCGTCTCGCGCCCCCCACACCAGCTTAGCTGTTAGAATCCCAGACTCCTTGAGGCCGGAGCGACAGTACAGCAGGGAGGCATTCACCTTGCCGCAGT